AAGTTAATAAAAGAAAATGTTTTCAGGGAAGTAACGCCCTTCCACGATTGCCTTCCTCACCAAGCATAGATGCTCCACCAATCAATGTGCAGAAGTATGTGGACGGTAAGGGCTCTGTACCTCAACCCCCGCCACAGCAGGTAAACTTTTTATCACATTCTTTTGAATTCAAAAAAGTGTTGGAAATCACTGAATGAACTTTCAGTGTCCCCGACAACCCGGATGGGCACCTTGTATTACAAAGCAGCAGGCGAATGAGCGATTTACCAATTGTTGTGCTCGACTTGGAGACGGATGTACACCACTTTGCAACTACGATGCTCCCTTGGCTACGGTACGAAGACTTTTTACACGATTACAGTAACAGCTGAAAAATCACGAGCGTCTCTAGGAGGCTAACCTGGAAAAAGGCCATTTATTTACTTGTTTACATGAAATATCATAAGTTGCGCAAAATAATTCGCCTAAATAAAAACTTGTTCGATTAAGTGGCGGAAGAACCTTTCCAAAAAAAAGCTGTGAGAGCGTTTCAAGACGACAAAGCCTCCTGCAAACAAGTTCTCGATTTTTTTTTCCTTCTAATGGACAGCGGGCACGTTTTTGTCCGTTTTTCTCATCCCATTTGTTGAACGGTTCACTTCCAACTGACCCATTTTCCTCCATCACTCTCGCACATTCCCAGTCCTTCCTTATCCCTCATGTTACGCGTAAAATCGGAACAAAATCTATCCCTGAATCACATTTCAGATTTGGGTCACCCTATCGAGTGATTTCACTTTCCTTGGTCCCTCAAAAAGGATTTTTTGATAAGTACTCAGATAGCTATTACCGAGGTCTTGCATGAAGTGAACGATGGAAAGATTGGAAGCCTTCCTTGGTGAAAGTTTACTCTCCGAACAGGAACTGCCATTCCAAACAAGACTGATCCAGGAGGCAAACAGCGGATCAAGTGTATGTCTTAGGGATAAGCTTCTCGTCTCGCCGTTTTCTGGGACCCAAAACACTCAGGATCAACTAGAACAATCTATTCCTAGTTAATATCTCGGATATGAAGATTAAGTACGAAAACGATTATCCATCCCGATACATCGCACTCAAAAGGCGAATATACGAGGAACTCGAGGCGACATTCGGAAAAAGGATGCAAATAAACATGAATTTCAGCTGGTCAGAGTTCATAATGCCACAAAAGCATGAGGGGAGAGGCGCACATTACATTTGGTTTTGACTACGAGAAAGTACCACAATTTGAGTCTAAAACGGGTAGCGGGTTTTGTATATCTGATCTGGCCTCTTTCACTCATCACCTTAAAAAACCCCCACAAACGGTCAAATTTATTCCGAAAAAGTGAGAAAAAATCGAAAAAAAATAATTTTTTTTAAGTAGTAAAGGTAATTAGAGCTGTCCATAACAGAACCGAGAAGTGTTCGAACTGTTGATAAACTATTCCTGGTTACCCATACTTACTATATGGGATCTAAGTATCGAATTGGGACAGACTATCTTCATAACCCACGCTGATCCTACGGAATTTTTCTATAAAGACCTACTGTACACCTTCTATTTACACATACCAAAGTTCCGACTAAAATTGAGCCATTTTTCAGATGCAACTGGCCGTTTTGACCGGTCGATGTCCACTTAATAAAATGGCCGACATTATGGTTTGTGCTTCCGGTTATGAGGATGCCACTGCTTGCTGTGAAGCGTACAATGTATTCGAACCTGGCTATGAACAATGCCGACCATACTGTAATCCAGCTGCTGGTCTTCCACAAGGAGGACTACTTTCGGAGAAATACAAATGTCTTGCAAAACTGTCACATATCCAGCAATGCTTCTATGTCTCACAAAAGCCCTAGATAATCATAGAAATTGGTAAGTGAAAGATAGATTGATCTATTTCCAACAAACTTACCCAACAGATTTAGTTCTAATTTTCCTTCCCATCAATTACAAAAAAAAAANCTCCTCACCCTCTCAGACTCATTTAGCAGCAATTGCCCAACCTAGTTGGATGGAACGGCTGCCTGGTTTCAGTCAAATGATTCCCATTATTCTATCGTAACGTGTGGGCCATTCCGATCATAACCATATTCAGCACCTTCAAACAAAAAAGGGACCTATAGCGTTCACTGACCCTTCTAATTATGGGATAAGCCATGCTCTCAACTTCAATTCATGATTAAGGAAGCATTCAATTTGAGGGCATGGAACACTTCATCTGAACCGGTCCGAAACCTTCTTATCAGCTGCAGCCGGGGGCAATTCCAAGCAGATTCGATCCTGAAAGCCGTATAAACGGCATCAACGACATCTTGCTAACAATTACGCTACGGCTTGCCTACGCCCTAGAATCCAGTTTCCATTCATCAGAATTAGAACGAATTATCTTTGAATGTGCCCTAAAAGCTTTGTAAATTAGTCGTTGAAGGGCCAGCCCCGCCCCCGCCAACTCCCTTATCGTCACCACTGTCAAAGTTCTCTCAAGTGAATTTTTTTGTTTCAGAAACCGGCACTGCGGAAGATTCGAAGGCCACCTTTCCCATCTACTGCTACATATCACACACTATGACGTCCTTTTTGGTTTTTTAGACCGCTTTTCCTATCTATTGCTGTACAACAGAAACAGGATGACGCCTTTGCTTATTTGTTTATCTCTTCGCATTTTCCCGTGCTTTCTTGATACTTGTTTTATATCATATTTATTTTGGTAGGACTTTTTTTGTACATTTTTAATTATTACTTACATGTTCCAACGAACATTGAAGTGCCATTCCTGCCACTTATGATTGCACTGTCTTAATATCGATAATAAATAAAACTTACGTCTGAAGAATTCCAGACTTTTCCAAAGCCATGACTCCATTCGGATGAGCACTCATTGTGCCTATCAGGCAAAAGTAAAACATCGACCCACTATCGACGAGATTCTTCACGGAGAACAGGTCCGTGCTCGACTTTCTCTACAACAATGGCTTTTAAGCATGTAGAAAAAAAAACTGGCAGTGAGAATGTTCTTGTCAATGAGTCGGTTCTCGACATAGAGATAACCCACGGCATTACTGAGTCTAGGAAATAGGATGAATTGGGGACCAAAAGACGCTAGGTATTGGCCGCAAGACGGAGGCAGCTCCAAGTGGACGTGTCCCTGTTTAAGCTGCGCTGAATTACCCTCATCTTCAATCTTCTTCTAGGCTGACTTACCCATTCGGGTTGGGGTGGTTCAATTGTGGGTGCGTGATCATTACCCTACATGCAGCCAAAAACGTACATCAAAGAAAAGAACATGAGAGATGGCACTCGCTACCCGTGGTACACATTCAAGGCGCCATTGTCTGGGCCAAGTTAAGTGTATGAACCTTTCGAGTGTCTGTGAAAGAAAAAAAAGCAGAACTTTGAGAGAATATTGTACCAATTACTGACTTGTTGGATCGTGAGTCTAAGATGGGCCTATGGGCCTATTACGCAAAGCCGAGCCGAGGTGTCAGACAAACGTCTCACCTCACTCAACGCTGAACAACACTCTGTTGCGTATCGCGTAAAAATCTGAAGGAATCTCTCGTCTTCGTTAGCTAGTTCAAGCCCCAAAGTAATAGCATTTCGGGCAACAACAATTGGAAAACGACATTGCTTCCAACGCTTATGAGCACCATTCCGAGGCCAAAGAGCCATCATCATCTGGAAAAAAAAGAATCAGAATAGTTGACCTTAGAGAAGTGGGAACAGTATGGTTAGAATTGGCAGTTATGCGCATGTCACCTCACCTTATCCAGAACTCCCCATATCGCCTCCATTCTGAGATCCCTATTCCCATCTGAGATGTGAGCAAGTAATATGGCTGCTGCTTCCCAATTTATACCATTGTCGTCCCCGCTTAACATCTCATCGATGAGTGGTTGAAGTGATGATTCATCTGCTATGAGCTTCTCTAGAAACTCGCTGATAAATGATCAAAAACAAACAAAAAAACTCACCCGAAAAACACCGACCAGGTAAGGAAAGCGCTTTCGGGGGACACAAAAACAACGAATAATGTGAATCAACTGCAGGTCCAGACAAAGAATTTCCAATCCACGCTTTGTTAAGCGTATCGAAACGATTAAGAAGCATAGCTGCGTTCCTTAAATACTTAGTGTCTAAGAAAAAGACGATGGAAAAAATATGTTAACAATAACATTATCATTAAAAGGCATACCAAGAGTGAGGGAAGGTAAAACGATCAGTCTGATTGGGATCATAATAGCCGTGTATAGCAGCTGCTGCCATACTCTGAGCCAGCGTTTCACATGCAGATTGTACTAAAGTGGGCATCGAGAGCAGTGTGGCTCTCCAACCAGACGGCATCACTGCGCTTGCCTGAATACAACCGATATCTTTTTATAATACCACTACTACAAAACAGCATTAAATTAAACAAAGGAAACATTTTCTGCACGAGCAAAATATAGTTAGCAAGAAACTATGAGCAATTACCGTTCGCACAACATCTGTCACAAAAAGAGTGGCCTTTAGCCCGCTGCTGGAGTCAGGTTGTGCCACAATCAAACGAGCAAGAGACTGAAATAGAAAAACTTCATAATCAGACATTTCTTGGAAACGGTATACACTATCAAAACTACCTGAAGCAGACCCGCATTGATAAGGATAAAGCCAGCGAGGGAACGGAAGCAGCGCAAAAGGTCCACGTGTCGAGCGAGTTCCTGTAAAAAAAAATGGGAGAATAGTTGCTTCTACAGCAGTTGTCCACAAGTCCCTAACGAGTACAAAAAGGCAGGCAATACTTACTTCATCCATCGCGATACACATTTCGCTCTGGGCAAGCACGAAATCATCTTTGAGAGAATAACTGAACTCATCCGGCACAGTGATCGATGCTGGAAATCAAGGGTGGGTCAATTCGGAACGCAAAATCATTGTAAAAAAANAAAAAAATAATCAGCAGAAAACTCGCCAAATATTCGACTTACAGTAGTATTCCAAAGCATGATCCCAGTCTTCAAATTTCATAGAAGCATACGGTAAATTTAAGAAATCACAGCAAATATCGACAATCATTTCACGAATGCGAACCAAATTATTATCTTCTACCGTGCCCAGTCCTAGGTATTCCAGAAGCCTGGAAAAAGAGGAACTGTCAAATTTCCCTCTTCGCCCCTGTTTACTAACAGAACCTGAAAGGCGACGATGATATGAGTTTGGAGTTTGGGCCAACAGCGGCGCATGAGAGTAATCCAGACCAGGTTCGAAGAATACAAAGAAATGAAATAGAAAAGTTGTGCATGGCGCTATCAACTATTCGTTCTCCCCTGAAATTGAAAACAGATCAAAAGAAAAGGAGTGGTCGAGAAAACGATCAAAAACTGCAAACTTACTGTTCTGTTGACGCCAAGTTCTTCTGGAAGAAACCGAATTCTATCAGTGGTGCGAAAATTTGCTAAAAAAAGTTTCATCAGAAAAAGATTTAGG